TGTGTGTGTGTGTGTGTGTGTGTGTGTAACCTGAGTTTTCATTTAGTAGAGTTTTCTTTCAGCTTGAAGAATTTATGTAACATTTATTATATGGCTCTTTTTCAATGTTTATCTCAAACTTTTATTTTTGTTTTTATAAACTGTGCTTTCTGATACAGAATTGTTGATCTGATTATTACTTCTTTTTGTTCTTTAAAGAGGTAGGTCATCGATTATTTTGCTTTGGACAGGAAGTTGTTTTCTCTGTATATAAAGTGTCTTTCTATTCCTCTCCACTTCTAGGATGGTCTCTATTACTAGTCTTCAGAAACTTGATCACCATGTGCTGCAGTGGCTTTGCCCCTAGTATTTTCTATCTGAGCTTCACTGTGGCTACATTTGAGGTGAATGTGTAAATGCCATCAGCTTCTCAGAGTTTCTCGTGGAACGTTTCCGTCGGGCTTCCTGATCTGGCTGCGCCTCCTGATATTCCTGTGAGGCCCCGTGTGCTGCTGGCTGTGCCCTTCCTTGGGTCTTCGGTCCCCTGCTTTTTCGGGTGTTTCCCCTCCATTCTGTAGATCTGATGGTTTCTGTTGCTCCGTTTTAAAGAAGCTTTCACATTTTTCTTCTGCAGTGTTTAATTTGCTTTTAAGGCTAATTAATTTTTTATTTCAAATACTATCTTCTCTATTTTACAAATTTGCTCGATAAAGCTTTAGTTTTTGTCAGGTTTTGTTAAAATCCTCTCTTTACTCATTATGCTCATGTTTTCCTTCTTGGATACCTTTAAATAGCAGTTTGCAAATCTTTGCATATTCCTCAAAATGTATCATTTTAAGATATGTTTGTAGGATATATCTTGACTGCTTCACATATCTAGCAGTTTTACTTTTAAGATTCATTTTATTTTGAAAATTGATGAGCTTTTAATGAGCAGTTTGAAGTAGCATGGTGACACGCCGGGAGGTGTTTAAGTGGAAAGATAGCTTAGAAAACCAGTAAAACAACAAGATCATATGTCCTTTGGAAATCAAGATGCCACCTCTGGCTGGTCAGATCTGTTCCTATCCACGCTGGACGACACCTCTCACATGGTATAAATACAGTCTGGAGAGAAGTTTCTCCTGGTGCAACTCCAGGACTCTGCAGAGTGAGGCCTGTGTGCTGCTTGCTTTGCTCTGGCAGCTGTAGACTGGCAGCATCACAGCTGCTCCGTTACTGAGGGTCCGGAATGTGGCATCTTCTTTCCAGAGGACTGAGGATGTTCTGGAGGAGGGTGATACTTCTGGGGCTCAGATTAATGTGCGAAGGATTCTTTGAAGCACTGGGAGGTGTGGCTGAGGACCACCTGTGCAATGATTAGGTTAGTCTGGATCTCCGTGGAGGCTCCGAGGGAGGACTGGGTGGGCTCCAACATTTCCGATCTCCTTCAGGCTCCCCCAAGGGGCTCTTCCCGCTTTGCTGACCCTCTGTCACCTAGCAGCATCTCTCGGTGTGTGTAGGTTCCTCTCTGCAGGTGTTTTTTTCTCTGTGCAGATTTCTGAAGCTCTTTTTGGCCTCCTTTCCTTCTGTCTGGAAAGCTGCCTGGGAATCCTAGCAGCCTTGCAGCTCCAAGCCGGTCTCTCCCTGCTGAGTCCTGAGACCAGCGCAGAGCCCTGGAGGAGGCACAGGTGACCCTGGGTGACCTTACTCATTTCCCTCCCCTCTGAGTGAGCACAAGCTTGTGCTCCTTCACACACACATACTCGTATTTACACACACACACGCACACACACACACAAACGTATGTGATGGGAAACCTGATGTGAAACTATTCTTTTTTCTTCTTAATAAAAGCGATACACATCACAAATTCAGATAACACAGTAGAAAGAGTACAAAGTGATTATCTTTTCTCGCAGTTGGTGTTCTTCATAAGAGCCTTCGGTGGCCCCTTGCCCTTGTGGCGTTTCTCCTCCTCTGCTGCGGTCACGTGGGATCCCACACACACGGTGTCTGACTCCTGTGAACGTCTGCCCCAGGCTGTGTCTTAAACAGGAGCAGTTCGGTTGTGAGTGGCATCGTTTCCATTGCAAGCCTGCAAAGCACATTTCTTGATAGAAATTTAGTTTGTCCACAGTGGCTTGTTTTCTTTCACTTCCCTAACAGTGCTAGAAAAGCCCCTTGTTAGGTGGGTGTATTTCAAGTGCGATAGCTACTGTCACGATGTGTTTAAAAAGTTGTATTCACACAACTGTGAAAGAGGTGTGAGGGAGGGCAAGTCTTCCCTCTGGTGTCAGCACCAACTGTTTCCTTCTGTTTGCATTCATCCTGCTCACAGGCAAGGAAAACACATCTAAGTTTGAATTTGCATATCTTTAGTTATTAGGTAGAACATATGTTTGGTGGCTCATTTTTATGTATTTTGTGAATTGTAGGTCCTCCCTCCCATATTCCTTTTAGGTTACTTGACTTATTATTAGTTTGTGGTGTCTCCATGTAGTGTTATCTTAAAGTGATAACCTTTATCATATATACTGCAAATATTTCTACCCAGTGGATTTGTTTTAAGTTTGTATCTTTTTGTGGAATTGCCTGTCTTCCCCCCCGCAACATATTGCTTTCTTTGTCTTTATAAATTGAGGATTTGTTATCATGGTAGGACTTTTATTACTGTAGAACCTCGACACCTTCTTTGTGTCTTTCATTGACACTGTTGGGTACTGACTTGGAAACTGAAGGACTTGTGGGAGCACTCAGTGGGCACAGAATCACACACAGCTGTTTCCGGTAGCACTGAAAATAGAACCTAGTGCTTCCTGTTTTCAAATGTATGCCATTTCTATTTCTTTTATTTTTTATTTATTTTTATCTTATGGTTCAAAGGGGCCTCATGCTGAGGGATGGCAAACCCTTTGCATCACTGTGCCCCGTGATATAGATGTTCTGAGAGACAGAAGCTTTACTCATTAGGAAGTCACGCTGTGTCCCAGGTCCTGGGGCAGTGGTGATGTTGAATGAGACCTTGTCCCTGACCAAAGGGCCTTCAGAGTCTTGCAGGCTGAATAGTTAATGTGAACAACATGATAACGATGTATAAACATGACCAAAGGTGTGTCTGCAGCCATAACTAGGGGCACGTAGAAGAGAACAGTCAGCGTTGAAGGGTTTCAGGGAAGGAGGGTTGGCAGTTACACCAGGCCTGGCAGAGCAGTAGGACCGGAGAGGGACAGTCCAGGCAGAGAGGCCTCGTGTATGAAAGGACAGACGTGGTCAGGAGTGGGATAGCTGGGGTGTGCATAGTTTGATTTTTAAGGAACCTCCATACTGTTTCCACATGGCTTACTAACTCATGTTCCCAGCAGCCATGTACAGGGCTCCCTTTTACGCCCCTGTCACATTTGTCAGGTGGTGTTAGCCATTGTTACCCGTCCTTGGCTAAGAGGGAGACTCACTGGGGTCTGAGTTGCGACCCCTCATGATTGCCGGTATTGAGCCTTTTCCCTTTTTCTTGCTGGCCAATTATATGTATTTAAATCTTTTGTCCATTTTTCAACTGAATTATTGTGTTGTTGCATTTTTTTAAACTTCCTTATATAGATTCTAGGTATGCCTTTGTCAGGCATACGGTTTGTAAATATTTTCTCAGACTGTAGATTTTCTTTTCCTGTTTTTTTTTACTGTGGTACAGAAGCTTTTTAGTTTGATGTGTTTGCATTGGTTTCCCTTATTTTCATTGTCTTGACCCGCCAACATTTGTTCTGTCCAAGGTCCTTAAGTGCTCCCCCCATGTTTTCTTTTGTTTGATACAGGGGCTCACTGTTTAGTTCAGGGTGTCCAGGCAGGCCTTAGCAGAGATCCTCCTGCCTCAGCCCCCCAAGTGCTGGGATTACAGGTGTGCACCACCACACCCGGTGCCCCCGTGTTTTCTTCTAGTAGTTTCATTGTATTGGATCTCACATTGAAGTCTTTAATCTATCTCGAGTTAATATTTGTAACTCTCCGATATAAGGGTCCAGCTTCATTCCTTTGCGATGTTTTTCCAGCACCATTTCTTAGGCTGTCCTTTCTGCAATGCTTGTTCTTAGCACCTGTGTTCAGAATGAGCTGGCTGTGGATGTTTGGGTTTGCTTGTAGGTTCATTACTCTGTTCCATCAGTTTCTGTGTCTGTTTTTATCCCAATATTATCTTATTTTTATTATCCTGCAAGTATGGTGGGCAAGGCACAGCATCGTGTTTTTGTTTGACAGAAATTCTATAGGTGTGTGATCAACGAAGTATGATAAAACATATGGTGAATGTGTAAATTAAAGAATTGGTAAAGAGAGGGCCCTTGTCCTACCTATCTCTTCAGTCGGGGGGTTCACATAACAGGAAATGGGAGCAAAGAAAACACAGTGGAAAAACCTTCAAATCTAATAGTTTCGAGTTTCTCAAGCCTCTTTTCTCTTCTCTAATAGCTAGCAGCCTTTTGATTGTTGTACTAAAAATCTTAGAATAGAAGAGATCCAGAAAGTTGATTATTAGGATGATGCAGATGTCAGCATTGTGTGATTGGCAGAGAGAGGCCCTACACAGGCTGCCTGCACAGCCTCTCCCCCGTCCTATCACATTCCCTGTTAGCGTAGTGCATTTGGTACGCTTGAAAGATCTCAGATGAACTTTTCATTTTTTGGTCTTAGAGGGGCTGAACTCATTGGATTGGAATTATTTCCTGCCCATTCTTCAGGTTTCTTCTTGTTCTCAATTTCATGAATGCTTGAAGTATACGATTCCTGAGCTGCTCCCTAACTGGGGCAGGGTTTGTTTGTTTTTTTTGTACCAGGGACTGAACTCGGGTCCTTGCGCTTGCAGGCCACTGAACCGCTGAGCTAAATCCCCGGCTCAGGGTTTGTGGTGGTTGTGCCTTTCTTGAACTGGAATGAAGCATTTACAAGCTCTGGGCAGCGGTGCAGTCTGTTTACTTTAATTGCACTTACTAAAAGTGCTAACGATTTTCATAACATTGCTGCTAAACGCACCTGTTTTCTTTTCCTTCTAGTTCCAAAAGACCCCAAGCCCCAGTGGAGGCGGGTGGCGTGGAGCTACGATTGCACGCTGCTGGCCTACGCGGAGAGCTCAGGCACCGTGCGGGTGTTCGACCTCATGGGAAGCGAGCTCTTCGTCATCTCTCCGGTACACGCCTGCCACAGGCTGATGACTTCTTGGGTGGGGTGGGGTGTGAGTGCCATGTTTGTATAGAAGCTCCATTGAGTGAATGCAAAGAGGGAAAAGGCTGATATAAATCAGAATGATAAACTATGAAATGGAACACACTCAGAATCTAGCCAGAGATCTGTGCCCTTCTAATATTCATTCTGTGTATTCTGTAAGGCACTGTGCACATGTAAACCATCTGGTAGTGAGTAAATAGCAAATGAGGGTCATTAAACCAAACCCTTGGGAGGAGATGTCTGGAACAGAGGGTTTATCGAGCCATTTAAGAGGCGAGCTGGAAAAACAAAGGGCCCATCCTGGGACAGGTTCCCATGGCTTCCAACGGGAGGGCCAGCAGCAGACAGAAAATGCTGCCCTAGAGCTGAGCATCTTGGGAATTGCAGGGAAATTGAGCACTGCTCACCTTTTGCCTGAGTTGGCTGAGGGGAGAAGAGTAGAGTAACTCGAGGCCTCGTAGGCGTGGGCCTGGAAGCCAGCCCATGAGGAGGAGTCCTTGCTTCTGGGGGCTGAGGCTGCTGATCCAGAAACCAGGCTGGTGGGATCGAAGCCAGGATCATGGCATGAACAGTCAGTCTTTCGCCTGTACCTGTGAACTGAGTGACATCCCTTAACTCTTCCCCACCTCTCCATCCCCTGGCACTTTTAATTAATTTTACGACACCTTGTAGTTTTTATCATGGCACAAGATGTTACTATAAAGTTCCGTCGAGAAACTTTAGTCGCAGGAACAACTTCTAGGAGTTTGAGTTTATTACTTTAGTGGAATAGGAATTGAAAGAGAAAGTGGAAAAAAGAAAGCTTATACTAACTTGCTTTTGTATCCTGCTTTACACTCTATTAATGACTGTGTATGTGTTCTCATTTGATATTTAGGCCTGTGAGTGGGTTAGGCGTCCTGATTTTACAGTTCAGGAAACAGATTGAGGGGAGCAAAGTGACTTTCCCACCACAGCCCAGTTCCCTAGTATCCCTTGTAGGAATCAAGTGCTACTTAGTTTCTGTCTTTCTTCCTCCCATGAACAAGACAGCGCAGTACGTAGAACACTGGTTCTAACTCTAGCTGTGTCCTGGGAGATTCATATAGAGAAGAAACCGAATCCAAGACCCACACACATTACTGGATTGCCTGGGCTCTCTCCACAGAAGTTTTGTTTAATTGATCTGTGTAGGTCTGAGGATTAATGGTGTTTGTAAGCTTTTTTGTATGTTCTAATAAGTGTAGATCTGAGAGCCAATAATTCAGAGAATGGTTTTTGTTCAGAAAATGAAAATGAGTGGAAAAACCTGGAAAAAGCACATTTTGCTCAGGTTACAGAAGCCCCATAGTTACTGGACATTTCTGAGGAGGAGCTGGGGCCTCTGCTGGGCCCCTTCAGGCCCTGACGTCTCATCACAGAAAGTCATTGTGGGAAAGGGTCTTGAGCTCTTCTCTGGTGGGAGAAAATCAGACTGGTCTGTGAGCAAAGGAAGGAGCCCGGTTTGCAGGGCTGGGCTAGAGTCTGGTTGATCATTGCCTGAGTTTCAGTTGTGCAAGGTGGCTCCGGAGAAGACCTCGTGTCCCAGGGGCAGTCAGGGCTCCCTGAGACAACTGTTTCTCTTGGCGGCCTCAGTTTCATGTGGCGCTGCCGGAATCCAAGATAATGGCAGGTTTAGGATAATGACTGGAGGCTTGGAGGTGCCCCCTTGTAGGTGAGTGTCCCCACAAGTCTGCTATCTTCACGTCCTCAGCCTTTTGTGTTTTGTTGTTTTGAGACAGGGTCTCACCGTATCACTCGGGCTGGCCTTTATCCTCCAGCCTCAGCTTTCCGAGTGCTGGGTTAACAGTGGTGCCACTGCATCCCTCTGGCCACCTGCAGGCTTGAAGGGGATGAGACAGGTCATGGAAGTCTCAGACTGACCCATCTCCTACTGCCAGTGTTCAGACAGATGTGTCCTCATAAGTGACCCATGTGTTTATACACAGAGCGGAGCAGAGTTTTAAGGTGATAGAGGAGACAGATCCCAAGTGAAGATGAAGATGTGTGAGTAGCTTTATCCTGCTTTTGTTACCCGTTGAGGGCTGGTAGGAGAATCACTTTAGTAAGAGCAGCTTGTCCCAGACGGCTCGGCAGTAACTCAAACTTCTGATGGGTGACAAGCGATGGGACTGGGAGTTCATCCTGTGTCTCCAGTGAGCATCCACATCAAGTTTATTTTCTCATCTAGTTCATAGTTGGAGCTGCTGTGGGGAGGGCACCTGGCCTTGGTGGGATGCCTGGCTTTGAGGTAGGGAGGTTGGGAGTAGGAAGGAGGACATAGCTCTCTCCAGACAGTCCTGAGTCAGGGTGTGGGGGTGCACCACCCTTTGTCCCCATCTCGTTGTGGAATCCAGATTACTATTTTCAGGACTAATGCTGTCCAGTGGGAACATAACGTGAGCTAAATGTGTGATCACGCATAACTTGGAATCTTCTGGTAGGTATAGTGACAAACAGGTGAAACTTACTTAAAAATTATTTCATCCAATAGATGTAAAATATTATCATTTATAAAATGCTATTACTAATATTTCTTACCTCCTTTACTGGTACCAAGTCTTTGAAGTTTGGTGCGTGTTTGTCCTAGGCCTATATCAAGTGTTTATTGGCTTGTGCTAGATCATGAGGCATTGTTTGGAGGGTTGAGGAGGAAAATTTTTCCTCTGCCTCTCAAATTTAGTAGCTGGCAGCCTGCAAATTACCCAATAAGGGACAGATGAGCCAGAAAAAAAGGCACATAATTTTTATTGATATTGGTATTTTTTGCAAGGACCGAGCTTCACAGAAATGTGAACATTCAGGAAGCAGTTAGACTCCAGCTTGGTGCAGGGCTCTCAGTGATGGAGAATTGGTTGAAGGAAAGGGTGCCCAGGCTTCCGGCAGGGTGCAGGGAAAAATGAAGCCCAGGGTGGCTGCACTGTGCTGCTGGCTGTGTGTGGGGAGTGACTTCCGGGGACACGAAGTCCTAGCCCACAGAGTTCCAGCACAGGTACGCCTCCCTTGTCCCAGTGTAAATCACGGATGTCACCGAGGCCAAAACTGGCACGCAGCCAGTGGTGTTGACCTTTCTATAGTGGGCGCCATGTGTGTGCAGAAAGGCATCTCATCCAATCCACAGCTCCGCACCTCTTTGGCTGCTCCAGGGAATCCCAGGTGAACTGGGGACAAGATGGGGGCTGGGTTGTTAGCTAAGAATGAGAAGGGAACTGATGGGAAATACAGTTTAATCAGGGCTCTTGGTGCAAGTAGGCTGATTTTGTGTGACTCCGTGCCTCCTCTTCCTGGCCCCAAGGGCCACTGTCATGCAGAGACTTTTGTGCTTTGCTTTTATATAATAATAAAGCAGATAATGGAAGGTGGAGACTTTTCTTGCATCTGTTGATTCTCAGTTGTGTTCAGCTGAAAATGACCCTTATGCTCAGGTGTGTTCTGCAGGGGCCCATCCTGATCATGCTCAGGGGTGACAGACTTTATCAGCTGTGCTTCCCCAAGTGCTCAGGCCTTCAGAGCTTTAATGGTATAGTTGGATACTTAGTTGATGGAGAAAGCTTGACAGTGACAGTTGAAGACTCTTTTCCTTTAAGATGCTGATTAGACACATGGAAGTGATTGGGGACACTTTAGCTTAGGCAGCGGAAATTAACATTCAAAACCTGCTCTTAGAGTTCTCTAAGGCTGAATGGTGGGGGTTTCCATCTTTTCTTGCAACGGATGTAGGATTTGAGTAGAAATGTACTTCTCTATGCCTGTACCTGGACATGTCATTCAAAGTTATTTATTGCAGTGTTGCAGAGTACAGGTAATTAAAAAACTGGAGTTGGGAGGACTGGCCTAGATGGGGAGTCAAAGCCAGGTTGTGAGATGCCCTGTAGTTAGGCATACAAAGCATTTGGGTAGCAGCTGCTCTAGTAATGTGGTTTCCCTGTCTCCTCCTACAGGCATCTAGTTTTGTGGGCGATTTGAGCTGTGCCATCGCTGGGTTAATATTTTTAGAATACAAAGGCAGTGCACAGTGGTCAGCAGAACTCCTGGTCACCAATTACCGCGGAGAACTCAGAAGTTACCTCGTAAGGTAAAAGGCACTTTGGCAAGCCATTATCAATATGACATCATTTCTCTGGTTTCATGGCAGATATCAATAGTTATTTCCTTCTGGCATGTTATTATGGACAACTGCAAATCTAATCAGAAAGTTGAGAGAATTGTGTAATGAACACTGACGTGTTCCCAGTCGGATTCTGTAACTAGGATTTTGGTATGCTTGCCTACCACATTTTTACCATCTGTTCATCTTTCTGTCATCTCATGTTTTAATACATTTCAGAGTAAGTTGGAGATGTCATTGCTTAGATTTAGCATGGATATATGTTAATTAGAGTTATGATTAGTTTTCTTCCTTTTCAAGTAAAATTTATATCCCGTGAGATGCACAAACCTTAGTTTTACCAGTTGTGAGTATAACCGGTTTGTCTATTTGTGCAATTCAAACACCTGTGGAGATTCTGGACATTACCATCACGCTAGGAAGTTCCTTCATCTCCTTCCCAGCAGCTCTTTTTCCACACCCACCTCCAGAACAACGACTGCTCAAAAACTTGTATCACAGGTGAATTCTGTCTGTTCTAGTAATCACATTAATGGAACCCTACATGTGGGCCCTTTTGTCTAAGTCTTCCTTACTCAGCGTACTATTTGAGCTACATCCGGTAGTTCAGTGGTTTATTCCTGTTTTGCTGATGGTTAGTATTCCTGAGTGCTACCGACAGATATACAGGTGTCACATATACAGATAGACGTGTAGATGATGACCATCTGGTTTGCTTATCCATCTCTGTGTCGGTAGACTTACAAGTTTCTAATAAGGGCTGCTGCGATATAGCTGCTGTGACCCTTCTTGTATAAGTATTTATGAATATACATATTTATTCCTCCTAGATGGTTCTCTTCCAGTGGTGTTGCTAAATCCTAGGGTAGATATAGTTTACTTTTATAAGAAACCACCAAACTTTTTACCAGCGGGGTTGTTTCTGTCAGTCACGATCCCACTGCAGTATGTCAGAGTTCTGGTTGTTTCGTATCTTCCATGTTTGCTGTAACCCGTCTTCTACATTGTAGACATTTTGTTGGGTATGTAATGATGTCTGTTGTAGTTCAACGATATTTATTTCTTATTTACCTTCTTAATTTTAGTGTTGGAACAAACCAGAGCTACCAAGAGAGTCACAGTTTCAACTTCAGTAGTCATTATCCTCATGGAGTCAACACTACGATTTACCATCCTGCTCACAGGTGAGCAACCATTTGTGCTTGGATTTAGTGGATTACTGGGTGAGTATAGAAACCTTGGCACAGATTTGGAGAGAAGAACCTGCCCATTCTGGCTCTTGTATTGGCCTCTTCATTCCGTACTCCTGTGTGTAGTCACGCTGAAGACCTGTCGTGCTGCAGTAGTGTTTGAGACCTGTGACATGGCAGTAGTCTCTTCTGGGCATTCACACTCCTTTCCCAGACCGACTGCTCTCCTGTGAGCTAGATGGGGTGCTGGACTCTTGGTTGAGGAATTCCTCCTCCTTCCTCACTCCCCTGGACTGTCCTCCTCTCGTTGGTAAAATGAGTGCCAATAGTACTAAGCTTACACCCTTGTCCTGAGAACTAACGAAGTCCAGTGCCTTCTCTGGGGAGGGCCCTAGACGTTCTTGCTAGACGTCCTTTCCTTGCAGGCTGGGCGCTGCCGTCTGCCTGCCTTGGTTCCTCCTGTCTCTCTTCAGGGTCCCTCCGCCATTATTTGCCATCGTCATTGAAGTTGCCTGAAACTTTTGGCATTTCCTCTTCACACGGATCTCTACCCTTTAATGTTGAGGATGAAATTTACATTTATTTTACAAGTTAGCCAAGCTGTTTGCTTCTCTAACTGGAAAGAGTGTTCAATTTTGAGTCAGATGAAGCTCTTTGAGTTTTGAATTTTTGAACTAATCTCTGACTATTCACAAATCCTTAAACTCTGTGACCCTCAATGTACTTAAGTCTTTTTGAAGTCTTTTTGATTGAAAAGGTATGCAAGTTTCATATTTCATTTATTCATTGGCTTTCGTATTTTTTTTTTTTTTTTTTTTGCTTG